TGATAATTTATTATTATGTATATATAATAAGCTTAAAAGCTTTTAATTTTATTATATTCTAGTCAAAATTATATTATTTGTGTATACATTTTGTTTTTTTTTTAAATATTTTCTGGCTTCTATCCTACTGAGATCTTCTCTTATCCTCTACTCATCCCTCTCTTTCTCATCTCTTCACTCTATCATCCTCCACGTTTTCATCTCCTCACTCTTCCTGAATTTTTGAGTAGGCTCTACCCCGTTGTAGACTTTACCCCTCCTATCCTACTGAGACCTTCTCTTACCTTCTACTCATTCTCATACTCTCTCATCCCCTCTCCTCATCTTCCACTCTTCCTTTCCTCGGTCTTCAACCTTAAATATACCAGTCGACCCCCTATAACACTGTTGATAATTCCGTTTTATATGAATTCCATGTTGTATGAGTCACTTAGATTTTACAAATACGTGAACCGTTCACAGCCTGGCACACGTATTTGTAAAATATAAGTGACTCGTACAACATGGAATTCATATAAAACGGAATTATCAACCAGTGTTATAGGGGGGTCGACGTATCTACTTCCTTGTAATAACAATAATAATAATAATAATAATAATACAAAATGGCGACTATACGTGATATTACGCTTTTTGGTTCGCCCTATCCTACTAAGACCTTTTCTTATCCTTTGCACCATCCCTCATACTCATTTCCCTCTTTCTCATCTTCTCACTTTTCCTTTTTTAAGCTAACTCCTTCTGCTCTTGACATTTCTAGTCAAGTAACGTAAACTATAACCTTGGAGAGGGGTCGGGGTTTTTGTCTGTCTTCTCCCATTCTGATTCGATTTTCGGTCCTAAGGGTGTGATTCTCTATTGGTAAAACCTTACTCGTCCGTATAAAACAGGTTACGTAACTAAATCTGTTTATTTTTCATTAAAAAAAATACATTAAATCGAGGGTTATTTCTGCTGTTAAAAGGTGACTCGTGACTAGTGTAATTTCAAATACCGACTTTAACATAAACTGTAATCTTCAGGGGTGTTTTTCCCTTCATTTTAATTCGATTTTCGTAGCGTATTTTCACTAAATACTTCAATTGTCCGTGTAGACAGGTTACCGAGCTAAATTTATTTATTTTTTATTTAAAAAAAACCGTTAAATCGAAGTATTTTTCTCCAACTTTCTGCTGTTTAAACAGGGACTCGTGGCAAGTGAAATTTCACGTGAAACCCAGCAATTTTTATTGAAAAATCTCGAAATTTCATTAAAATAAATGGAAATTAAGTCATAAATTTCGTATAAATTTAAAATTCATAAATCTATAAAGAATATTTTAATGAGTTTATTAAGGATTAATCTCATTATTTTGATTTTTAATTTAAAAAAGAAAAGAGAGAGAGAGAGGAAAAAAAAATTCATTTATCAAATATTTAATTCTTAAAATTAACCAAAGAAAAATTGTTTTACATTTATTTTCTTTTAATTTAATATATAAAAATTGATTTAATTTTTCTCTTTTTATAGAGAATTTCGTAATAAATTACAGTCGAACCTTTATTAACGGCCACCTCTAAATGGCGGCCAGTTTGTTGTTTCAGAGTTGCGTGTAAAATAACCTTTAAACAAGGCCACATTTTTTAGAAATTCGTATTGAAATGTATATAAAAAAAACCTCCAAATCACGTCACCTTTCAACTACGACCACTTTTTTTTTTCTTAAGAAAGTTCAACCAAAATGCATATAGAATAACCTTTAATCAACGACCCACATTCAAATAATGGCTATATTTTTTAAAGTTGAACAGAAAGGCATATAAAATAACCTCTACATAACGGCCACATTTAAATAACGAAGCATTTTCAGGAAATTTTAAATAGAAATGCATGTAAAATAGCCTTTAAACAACGGCCACTTTTAAATAATAGCCACGTTTTTTAAGAACGTTGAACAGAAATACATACAAAACACCTTTATACAACGACTACCTTCCTATAACGACCATATTTTCAGAAATATTGAACAGAAATGCATAAAAAACACCTTTAAACAACGACTACCTTCCTATAACGACCATATTTTCAGAAATATTGAACAGAAATGCATAAAAAACACCTTTAAACAACGACTACCTTCCTATAACGACCATATTTTCAGCAACATT